GTCTCTCATCAAAAAACGAATAACGACCAACCTCACATCGGTCGGCACACCCACATACCTGACTTCGTGGACCCCCTGTGGTCTACTAGACACCGATAAACTAGCCTGCTTGTATACGAATCCTCATTGTCACTTCAAGAAGTTGGCCGAACTGAATGATTGCCAAGTTTCTCAGAAATATGTTATCATCTGTATCACAGAGACGTGGTCACACACTGAAATGATGGACACTGAGATTTCTCTACCTGGCATGTCACTCATTCTGAAGGACAGACTGACAAAAGGATGAGGAGGCGTAATTCTTTATTGCCGAAGAGACTTACAGTGCGAGGTCACGGGGATTCAGATTTGATGATTGCTGTTTCACTTTGGTGTCGCCTGCAGTTAAGAGGCAGAGACACTTGCCTTATGGCCTTGGTGTACCGTCCCCCTAACCCTACACCGGAAACGGACGGCCAAATTGCGACTTCCCCTACGACACACTAAAAGGATAATACACTCACACCTTGACCATAGGTCATTTAAATGTGCATTCTTCAGAAACCCTTGCCACGTGAGGAGAATGATTTAAAGCCCGTCTGCAGGAGCTCGTAACCAGCGTTCCGCTTTATAATCATGTCATTTTGCCAACTCGATTCAGAACAGGTAATAGGCCATCTTTGCTTTATCATGTGCTTATCAATGAAGAACACATGATTGAGGCGTTGGTTGTTGATTTCCCATTAGGTTGCAGTGAGCATTCACTTATTAGTTTCAACTTCATCTCTTATGCAGAATACCGAGATGCGGACCATGAGACAGTGGAAACCACCAACTGCTACGACCGATTAGCTCTCCTGGTCAGTGCCACATTCTGGTGGTTCCTCGCCGAGCACTCCTGGCATGTCGCCTGGCTCGTGTTGCTGAATAAATTCAATCGGTTGGTTACCGATGCCTCAGAAAAAGTTTGCAAATTGTTTGCAACAGTTACTTATGTAAGGAGCAGGACTCGAAAATTGCTGGCAGTGCGCAACGCAGCATGACGACAGTATAGGTTATCCCTAAGACTAGGTGGCCCAACGAAAACACTGCAATTAACTACTCAGAGAGTACGGCATTTAAGACGGCTGTTGGCCTAATACGAACGGCTACGGAAGCAACAAACGCGCATCGGATGCGATATACCCCTACCTTCAAAAGGGTATTATCATCAGGTGATCCTCCAGCTTTTATCGCCTAGCCGCCGGGACTCACTCACATCTCCTTTACCATCGAAGCTGTCTTTCAGAAGCTGAGCACTCTACGCAAGCACAGGTCCCAAGGTGTCGATACTATTTGCTTAGAGGCACCGAGAGCAGAAGCAAGTAAATTGGCTGAGCCACTGGCTCAGTTCTTCCAACACTACTTAGACCAGAACCAACTTCCTGCCACGTGAAGCTTGGAATACTAACACCTATTTACAAAAGTGGAAGCAAAACGGAGGCTTCAAACTACCGCCAGGTTTCCCTTCTCCCTATACTGTCCAAGATGACGGAATCCATCATCGCCGCTGCGCAGGTGGGTTATTTGGAAAACACTAACATTAATATTTCTGAGCAGCACGGCTTCCGTCGACATAGATCGTGCACAACGAATTTCCTAATAGCAGGGAGTAACTGGACCCAGTCAGCTGATGCTGAGGAGGATGTTGATGTCGAAAGCATTCGACCGTCTAGATCATCCGATACTCCTTTCAAATTTACAGAGTTACGGGATCGGTGACCTACCTCTAAGCTGGATCGCCAACTAACTCCTTCAGCTTCCACCGGTGATCAGAGTTCGGAGCTCTTTTTCTGACCCCATAAAATTTGAATGTGGTGTGCCTCAAATCTCGGCGTTAGGTCACCGATTGTTTTTGGTATTTGGCAATGACCTCACCGACAATTACATTTAAAGCAGAATGCCCATTTGTTACCTCAAGTACAGAAAGAGGGACAAAACAAGAAGGGTTAAGCGAACAATTGTTTTCGATTAATTCTTCATCAGACTCATACAATCAGATCCATTAGCTTAACGTAGGTTTCAGTCGTCAGTATAACAAAGAAACAATTGATCAGAAAAGTAAACTTGTGATCAGGATGACAGTCATCTGATCACATGACTGAAGTCAGGTGGAGTTGCGGAGTATCATCACTTCCTCCCCTTCTGGTGGTCGGCCACGGAAGTTGTAGTGTTTGTACCATCTTCTTCTGGACACACAAGTCCGGGCTTGTCAGGCGTAAGCATACTGCCTCAGCGGTGGTATGTAGGCTTGCTTTTACACGATGGTTATGTCTTGATGGTATTCTGTATAGAATCTAACACACCATTGCTACCCATACTAGATATGAGAAATTAGCCCTATCGCAACATTGTATAACGGCGGACAAAAATACTGAACCCCATCAGGTAAATGATTGCTCCTCATAGACTGACAGATACATTCCAGTTTGTCAACGAAGTTCGAGATATGGATGTTCAAGAGTATCGGATGTTTTCCTTATACGTTTTTATTGTTTACCAAGGTATCTCTGATAGAAACAGTTATCTACTTGTGCTCGTAAATTGACCAGCATGGTATAAACATCGGTATACCAACCAACAAACTGAAACAACTGATACTCAGATGTACGTACAACGTTCAATTTAAATTCAATAGGTTGATGGCGTTGCAGTGGGATCTCCACTTGGTCCATTGTTAGCAGATATTTCTATGGGAATGCTAGAAAGCGGTCCATTAAAACAGGTCATATCGGGTCTGAAATTCCATCAGCGTTATGTGGATGATATGTTTTGTATAAGCGATCGGACCAGCAAACCCCAGGATATAGTCAACCGTTTCAACAATGCGCACGTTAATATCGCATTAAGAGCTGAGTTAGAAAACAACAAGCAAATAACTTTTTCGGACGCAATTCTTATCAGAAGAACCGACGGATCAATCCAAATAAATGTATAAAGGAAACAATATTGGACGGGAAAATACATGAACTTTCATAGTTTCACCCAACTCAGCCCAAAATGAACGCTGGTGCGAACACTAACCGATCGGGCATACAAAACCTGCAGCGAAGACACCGTAAAAGCTGACTCATACGAATCAAAGAAACGCTTCTTAAAAATGGATATCCGGAACGATTTATCGCGACCTATATGAGGCGATGCGCACCAAAAGTATCGAAACAAACCGTTGAAGAGAAACAGCTTTACCTGAATCTTCCATTCAAAGGAAATAGTGCGGCTGAGACATGCATACGTCGACTACAGCAAAAGCTACAACAAGACCTTTAATGCGGCTCAGCTGAATGTGATTTTCACAAGCAGACCTTTACTAGTTCCGAGATTCGAAGACCGAGTGCCTGAACATCTCCAAACAATGTTGCTCTACCGCTTTACCTGCCCGTGCGGGGCCAGGTACATTGGACGGACGACCAGACATTTAGGTAAGAGGACTAAGACACCTCCAGGTTTGGCTCTACAATCGCGAGAATAAGACAAACTACAGCGCGATTACGAACTACTTAATCAACACAGGCCACCAGATAAACGAACATCCTTTCAAGTTCTCTACAGAATACTACCAAGACATAAACATCCAGTAAGAGGAAGCCTACTTGCCACGGCTGAGGCGGTATGCTTACGACTGACAAACCCAGACTTGTGTGTCCAGAAGAAAATGATACAAACACCACAACCTCCGTGGCCGACTACCAGACTGGAAGGAAGTGATGGCACTCCGCAACTCCACCTGACTTCAGTCACGTGATCAGCTGACGGCCATCATAATCGCAAGCTAAATTCTCTGATCAATTGTTTCTTTGTTATGCCGACGGCAGAAACAGATCTTACCCTAATGTATATTATTGTATGAGTTTGACGAAGAATTACTCGAAAACAATTGTTCGTTTAACGTTTTGTGTTTTGTCTCTTTCTGAATTGCCTCTAACTTCCTACTGTTTGCCGACGACGTCATGCTTTGGCCTGAGATTCAGGGGAATGCTGACCAGCAACTGCTTTAGGATGATCTAGACACGGTAGCTAACTGGTCCATCCAAAATCCAATACCATTCAATATAAGTCAATGCAAGACGCTCTCCAAATGACACCAGAGCAAACACTACTACAGGCTCGGAACGCATGTGCTGCAGTGAGCTGTCACCGAACGTGATTTAGGCGTACTGTTTCAGGATGATCTGAGTTGTTCCAGCCAATTCGCGAACGCCCGCAAAACTGGTAACCAACATGTGGGCCTGGTAAGACAGGCGTTCGGGCAAATATAGATCACTCTATTTCCCGGCAGATACTTAGTGCGTATGTTCGTCCTCACGTCGAGTATGTACTTCAAACCACCTGGTACGCATGGCTAAAACACGACCTTAGTGCATTAGAGCAGCCGCAAAGTCGAGCGTCAAACTAGGTTATTGGAAGGCAGCATCTTCCATACGAGGAGAGGCTGGAACGATTGGGGGTATTCAGCAGAAGTTAGCTCCGCTTACCAGGTTACTTGATAATGGTGTACTTAATTACGCACGATCCACACCGTGTGTGCCGCTCTTTACTGCAACGCAGCAGTAGTACCAAATTGAGAGGGCACGCAATGAGACTGGCAGTACAGCCGCCTGGATTGCGGCAGCAATTTCTTTTCCGTCCGCATGTTTCACCCGTGAAATGCTCTTCCAGAATCCGTCATTTCTACTCCACCCCAATCCATATTTAAAAGCCGTTTGTTTGACGCACTTGCTCACCTACACTTTGTTACGTAGTGCTAAATCTCAATCTCACGCCTGGAATATACTTGAATTTATTGCAGCTACATGTTTGTGCTGTGAAACTACACGAATCGCAGGACTACAGCGAAACAAACGATAAGTCCCTATTTTAAACGTAAATAACCCACTGCTTTTTATTTTTCGATAATCCTGCAAAACAACTCAACGGGACATGTAAAGTATTGCTTCTTAACCCGTATAAATTCATTGTTCATTGAATAGCATGCAACTTACGCACTGAGCTCGTGATTCCGCTTGCACCAGTTGTTTTAGATTCAATAGCGTTTGACTTGTGGTGGCCGAATCCGGGAGGCTGGATCTGGTGCTAATCTTGTCCCGTTCATTTTGGACGGCTGGTAGCAAATGACAAGTAAGGTCAACGGAAATTCATGAGATCACAACCACCCGTGCGAGAATTAAAACACTGATCGACGACACAGACAGACACATGCTTGCAAAAGCCCTAGTCATTGGTGGCGGTTATAGCTTAGCGAGATACTTAGGTAAATGAAGTTAATCAAGGATATTTTATACTTTATGTTCAAAATCCGATCCGAAGGAGTGCGTAATACAAAGACTAGAAACTGACAAACTTTAATGTTCAATCTAATGCTATACAAGTTGAGGTGTATGGTTATCACGGACCACTGCGTTGTGATGAAATATTTAGTGAAAGAACTCATAAAACTAGCTGAGATTAACAGACGATTCCGATTGCAGCATGAAGATGAGACGCTGAGCCGAAATAATACAGCTGAACAGTGAAGGCCCTTCAAAGATTCTCCTACGTCTATTACTGACGACCCTAGTTAAGGCGGATCTTAACCCGCTGCTGTCGTTCTTAGAAATATTCATTGCGTTGGACAGCTTATTATTGGTATTCCTCACACAACAGTTTAGAAACCTGAAAACACGTTTACTTCATTTTTGGAAACAGTAAACACAAAATTCGGTACCATGTGGTGTTGGAAAGTGTGGATCCGACGTGACTACTAAAAAACCATTTCATTTTTAATTGACATAGAACAGCTGACTTTTACCCTATATTGAAAGATTGTTAAGACCGGGAGATAAGTACTTCCAACCTCTTGCTGTTTTGTCCTCCGTGCACTCATGACTAAGTGCTAAATGATTTCCACCTGTTTGAAGCCATAAACGAATTCCTTAAAGCTGGGGCAAGTGGATAAATATAGAAAGGAAAAAATTAATTGACAAATGCAGTAGAAATTCTTGAAAGTCGTAAATATTGTTGAAAATTTTTTGCTTAAGTCACACCCTTTTGGTCTAATCACTAAAATCGCTTGTTGAACACGGAGGGTGATTCAAAGGTGAGCACAATTATTTCCTTGTGAATGTCATCTAGTAGCAGCCTTTTGTCCTGCCTGATTAATTCTGGAAGTTGCTTTCAGAATCAATCTACTAGAAGCTTAAGCATCATGGATACGTTTCTACAGCTAGTGTAGGTTCCATTGTTGGGACATTTACATTCAGACCGTTTTGCTCGCATGTTAGCTGACGTTTCTGTTTGAGCATGCAAAACAAGCTTGCGGAGACTCCTCCCATTTCGTGTCAACGAGACGCGCCTGGAATATGTAGACATAACGCGACGATGGTTGCTTAGTTAGTGCATGAGGCGCTTTGTGCACAAAAACTGCTACAGCTTGTTGGAACCGCGAATGTTGTATTCTATGTTGCCCAAAGCGCATGAAATGAAATGTTGACTGGCAGCTAGACACCACCTCTTGTGAAGATCCTGTTTAGTCGCGCCAGACGAATATGTTCGACCGATTGTCTAGCCGATGAACCAGAACTAATTACCAACACGTTAATCTCTAATGACTACCCTCGAAACTTTATTCAGAAGCACAGCGAAATCCGTGAAATTAAAGTTGCTGTACCTACTGTGCCTAAGAAAAAGCTATTATTAGAGCTGCTCCTTAAGGGTGATATTGCTTCCTGGAGGACCAGAAGACGTCTGAGTTCCGCCACAAAGAACACTTTCTTTGCTTCCGAAATTATAATCATCGACCGGACTCATAAGCTACCGTCTCCTCCATTAAAGGAAACTCAGCCTATTGGCACCAACTTCCACTGCGTATATCAATTCGTGTGTAACTGCGTTGATAGTTACAGAGGCAGAACCAATAGAACTGAGTTACCGAATAAAGGAGCAAGTACCAAAATGGGTTCAGTGCGGGCTTATTCAACAAGCAAGCCCAACTCAAACTACGTGTATACGCAGGCAGTCAGCATCCTTGATCGGCAGGCACTTATTGACATCGGGTCACCGTATTGAGGTCAACAAGACGTTTAGAATTCTGCTTCGCCATAACCCAAAATATGAAAGACAGTTCCGTTGTTCGACTTCGTAGGAAACCCTCAAATTGTGCTTTGTGTTCGTAAACAATTCTCGGTCAGTCGCAGGCTGCGCTGGTTGTAATGGAAAGACACCCTTTTTTCTTGCGTTTATTTGTATGTATGTCTGTATCCACAAACTGGCGGGAGAGCCTATGGTGCGCTGAGGCTGGTGGTGGCTAGATCCTGACAGATGCTCTATTCAATGCTGCTACTGTTGCGCCATTGGCTCATGTCCTGGACGCCTCTCGTGGCGACCGCTGGGTGGGAGTTGGGTTCCGCTCTTCTCCCTGCTAAGATCCAGGACACCAATCCGCTGAGTCAGTGAACTGACCATGTGCTAGACCCGCTGCGTTTCGGGTGTTTATTTAATCGGAGACATTGGCTCAGGACCTGAGTCGTCGTTCTGTCAGGATTGGGCGCCCTGGCAGTATCCTAGTCCATCCTCACCGGAGGTTAGGAAGTGGTCGATGGCCCACTTCCCGTAAAACCTAGCCATGGGAGACAACAGGTTTACGGGTTATAATCTCACAGCTCGAATGGCGTAGAGCATGAGGGCCACGCACTGTCTCTGACGGTGGGAGGACACCTCCGGGTGTTCAATGGTTTGCAACTGCCCGCCTCAAGCCAGGCAGCCCCTAGTCAAATTGGTGTAAACCCGCCAAAAACCCACCTGCGTCTGGCCGTGGTCGCAGGTGCGTATCCTATTACGGTCGCATAATATATAAATACCGTTCCAGTACCTCCAAGGCTGCGTGTGACGACTGTCAAGCAGATCCCAGTCTGTCACTGCAGTCACATACCCGAGCTAGATCTGCTCCCCACTGCCTTGTGGGGCAGGCTATTGAGCCAAAGGCTCCGGGCGCAGTCCCTCAAGCAAATCACCAAATCACCCACTGCTTTGTGGATCAGGCTATTGAGCCAAATGCTCCGGGTGGAGTCCTTCAAACAAACCTCCGAAGCACAACGACCATCTCGCGTGCGATTGCCCACCAATGCAATCGTATGTCTGCGCGCAAAGCACTCAGCATCGGGTGCTGGAACGTGCGCACACTACTGGACCGGAACTCCAGCGAGCGCCCGGAGCGACGCACTGCACTGGTCGCGATGGAACTGGCACGCTACCACATCGATATTGCGGCACTCAGTGAAACTCGGCTCGCTGAGCAAGGTAAGTTATATGAAGCAGGTGCTGGCTACACATTCTACTGGGTGGGCAAAGCCGCCTCAGCACCACGTGATCACGGGGTCGGATTTGCAGTATCCGATCACCTCCATGGCCTTCTGGCGGGTGAACCAACGGGCATCAGCGCGCGACTGATGACTGTTCGCCTACGACTCGGAAGAGGTAAGTTTGCTACTTTCATAAGCACGTACGGTCCGACCATGTGTTATCCTGATGACACGCGTGATCAGTTCTACACTGAGCTATCCTCCGTGATACGGTCTATGCCGAGGAGCGACCGACTATTACTGCTGGATGATTTCAACGCGCGCGTTGGGCGTGATGCATCGGTGTGGACAGAAGTTATCGGTTCGCATGGCATTGGTTCAGTGAATGCGAACGGTGACAGGCTGCTCTCACTGTTTGCCACTCACGGCCTGACTAACACGAACACTCGATTTGCACTGAGTGCGAGTGATATAGCAACTTGGACTCACCCACGAAGTGGTGAAGCTCACCTGCTCGACTGTGTCATCGTACGTCAGCGTGATATGAGTGAAGTGCGCATGACACGTGTACTGCATGGCGCTGAGTGTGGCACTGATCACAAATTGGTTCGGACCAAACTGTACATATATTTTCGTAAATCTATGTATTGCACTCCCGCCGTGAATCGGCGTAAATTTAACATTCTCTCCCTCGGTACTGTGGCGAAACATACTGGGCTGGAGAAGGCGATGACTGCACGCCTGTGTGATGTGGAATGCATAGCCACAGTGGGCGACCTGTGGCACCACATTCGCGACCAGGTGACAGCTGCTGCGGAGGAGACCATCGGGCGCGCAAACTGTAAGAGGCCTGATTGGTTTGATGACAACAATGTGACGGTTGGCGCATTGGTGTCGAAGAAGAATGCAGCATTTGCTGCACTTGTAGCAGACCCCAGTGAATTGGGAAAGAGTAGTTAGTTTCGCAATCTTCGACGGCGACTGACCCGAGAGCTCCGTCGCATTAAAAATGCATGGTGGACGGAGAAGGCGAAGTAGATGGAATGCTACGACGAACGCCGCCAACACAAGGACTACTTCAAGTCCTTAAAGGCGGTGTATGGTACTAGATTGAAGCCGCTGAGGACACTGATCGATGGTGGTTCAGGCGCTACTTACACACAGACCTCAGACATAATGCAGAGCTGGCGAAAACACTTTGACTGTCTCTTGAACAACCGTTCAGAGATCGACTGGCCTACATTGAACTGCCGGAAACAGCACAATGTGAAGACGAGTCTGGCGGATACGCCGACACGGGATGAGATGCAGAGAGCACTTGCTCAGCTGCGAAACTGCAAATGTGCTGGAGCCGACCGGATCCCTCCTGAAGTATTGAAACACGGCGGACCCGCGTTGTTAACTGCGCTGCACCACTTGGTGCAACGTGTATGGATTGAGGAAGAGGTGCCTGCTGAGCTGAAGGATGCCCTTGTGCTACCACAGTACAAGGACAAAGGGAGCAAGCAATGTTGCACGAATTATCGTGGCATCAACTTGCTGAGTTGTGTGGGCAACGTGATTGCCCGTATCCTGATCAACCGCCTCGTCAGTCAGGTTGTGGAACCTAACGTGGCGGAAGGGCAGTGCGGATTCCGTTCGGGTAGCAGCACTATAGATATGGTGTTTGCTGCTCGTCAGTTGCAGGAGAAGGGCAGAGAATGACACCAGCCATTGTACTCGCTTTATGTTGATTTCACCACAGCATTTGATACGGTGAACCGCGAGGCATTGTGGCTGGTGTTGGGTAAGTTTGGTTGTCCGCGTAAGTTTGTAAGTTTAACTG